ATGGTGGGATAATCTTCAAAGTGCTAAGAGAAAATAACCGTTAAAACCTAGAGTTTGATATCCAGTTAAAAAGGAGGAGGGTATAGCTCAGTGGTAGAGTGTGTGCTTAGCAGAAAATGACTATTTTAAAGATGTATATTAAAGAATGATGAGCCAAGTGACCAGACATCTTGGATCTACTTTAACATACTTTCAGAAAAGAAGAAAAAAGAAAAGAAAAGAAAAAAAAAGGATAGCTGAGACAGATGTGGAAAACTTTTGATTGTTGATGTAGCTGGTGACGAATACACAGGGGTTAATTATGTTAGCTCCATTCTTTTGTATTTGTCTGAGAATTTTTTGTAATGCCATTTAAAATTTTAAGATGGTAGATAGGTTCTGTAGCCATTGACGCTATCATTTTCAGACCTACAAAGTCTAAAAAATTAGTCTTCTGTGCTTTCTTTCTCAAGAAACTATTCAAGGATATGCTCTACCAAAGAAGAAGTAAACCAAGAAAGACAAAGACGTGAATCTAAAATTTGGGGAACAGAACTTCAGCACTGGAGAGAGGGGAAGAAGTTCCCAACTACTCATCAGGCCTGGGAGCAACATGCCCCAAAGTGAACAGGCTAGAATACCTGATGTGTTTGATTGTACTGAGGGGGAAATTTTCAGCCCTGGTGGAAAGTTTTAGGGATGACTAAGGGATGGGTACCTAGAAAATGAAGCAAATGAAAAACTGAAGCAATTATTAACTCCAGAGAAAACAAAAAGTTGTAGAAGAAAGTAAATGTAATCACAGTTTGTATGGCATAGCCATTTGTAATATTTACATGGTCATAATACTGTAACATTGAATTTAACCAGAATTTAACATTGATTTAATCAGAATGGGTGATATCAATATATGGAGAGGATGGAGGAAAGAAACCTAGAGGTGTGTATAGTATATAGGTAGTGTAAGAACATGAAATCTATATCCCTAAATCCTTGTGAATTAATAGATAATACCTAAAATTGAAAAAAAAATCAGTATAAGAAGATGTTTTAGAAATATGGGACTAAATACCAGAAGAAATAGCCAAAAGAATTAGAAAATAGAGTATTTGTGTTTGGGAAGTAGTTAGCATGAAGCTTGTATTTTAACTGGGGTGGTAGGAGACAATTAACAAGGGCTGTGATAAATAAGTGAATCAGATAATATGTTAGAAGTTGATAAATGTTTGGGAAAGAATAGAGAAAGGTAAGGGGGATGGTGAATGTAGGATGGGAGACAATTTAAAATAGGTTGTCTATGAAACACTCAAGTGAAGAAGCTGAGTAGCCAGTGATATGTGAGTATGAGTCTGGAGCTTGGGAGAAAATTTTGGAATGAGGTATAAATTTGGGAGTGTCTGCCTATATAAGACATTTTTAAAAATCGTAAGATTGGATGAAATTATTGAGGCATTATTATTGAGTATAGGTAAAGAAGAATACAGAGAGTGGACTCTACCCCCCAGCCCAAATTAAGAGGTTGGGAAGCAAGAGGAGGGGAGACCAGTGAGGTAACTGAAGGCCAGGAGAGCATGGTATTCTGGAAGCCAAGGAAGGGGCGAGCTGAATCATGAACAGACGAGGGAGTGATGAGCAGCGGTGTTACCTGCTCCCCATAGACTGGGGACTGACCACTGGTCTTAGCAACGTGAAAGTCACTGATGACTTTGACAAGAGCAGTTTTTGGGGTGGCGGCATGAAGACAGATTGGAGTGGGTTTAAGAATGGGAGAAGAAAGGGATTCAAAGACTTTAGACAACTTGTCTACACATTTTGCTACAAAGAGGAACAAAGAAAGAAAATGGCAGCTGGCAGGAAATGAGGTTCAGAGAAGTACTTTTTATTTCTCTGTCTTGAGGTCATGTTAATATAAAGTGAAAGACCGAGAACCATAAAGCCACATGATATGAAAGATTTCAGTCCCGACTTGCAAATTTAAGAGAGAGAGAGAGAGATGGAATGCTTTCCATGCAAGGCCAAAGATGGCACCACCAACAGAATTATTTGTTCATATTACCCCTTTAAAAGCTTATCATAACAAATGTTAGAACATACTGGAGTGGACAGTTTGAGACTCTGTTGTTGCCTACATGTGTAGCTCATTCCACCTTGCCCTGTTGTAGGAGAGAGAGTGGGGAGCGTTGCTGGAGCAGAGGAGCGACATCACCTCTAGACGGGAACACAGAAATCTCCTCTATGATTGACAGGTGGGAAGCAGCGTGTGTGCATGTGCGTGCTCACCCGGGGTACCTCTGGTGGTCAGTGGTAATGGATGTTCTCGTCTCATGAAGAAGCAGACAAATCATTATTCCCACTTTCCTCAAAGAAGAAAGAGGCTCAAAGAAGCTACACAGCCAGTAAGTGGCAGAGCAGAACTGAAATCCAGGGTTTCTGACCACAAACCTAGTTCCATGTTTAGTAGCGTCCTCAAGTAAGAGCGCAGGTATCCTTGGTTGCCAATCTGGACATTTTGAGGGAAACAGTCAGCTTGCCTCTTGTTTTGATGCTCATCAAGCATCTTCTGATTCAAATGAAAGTCATGGACCACTTATGTACTAGAATAATCATCAGTATTAAGGAAAACAAATATACAAGTGCTTTCAGTGTGCAGCTAAGGCTGAGAATCACTTGGCTGGGGCAGTGCTTCTCGAAGTTGAAACGCAAGGGACCTTGTGAAACTACGTATTCTGATTTGCCATTTCTAGGGACAATGCTAAGATTCTGCATTCCTAACAAACTTCCAGGTGACGGTGCTGGTCCACAGACCACACTTCAAAAAGCAAGGAGCTGAGAGATAGAAAAGACCCAAATGTCTATCAACAGATGATAAGCGAAGTGTAGTATGACCATTAAAAAGCCGTAAGGGGAATGAAGCACTGACACAGGCTAAACATGGATGCACCTTGAAAACACGATACTCAGAGAAGGAAGCTAATCACATAAGATCACAGATTATATGATTCCATTCACAGGCAATGTCCAGAATCGGTAAATCCATAGAGAAAGCAAGCATTAGTGGCTGCTGGGGGCTGCGGAGAGGGAGGAGTAGGGAGTGACTGCTTTCTGAGTCCGGGCTTTCTTTTTGGGGGATGAGAATTTCCTGAACTAGACAGCGGTGGTGGCTGCACAACACTGTGAATGTTCGAGACATTATTCGTGGTACGTTTTATATGTGTTTTCCCACGATAAACAAGAAGGTCTAGATCATCCCTAGGTCATCATTTAATTCTGATATTCATAGTTCTCTGAACTGAAGGGGAAGAAAGGATAAACAGCTCTCCATCCAAGGAGAAGGAGATGGGTTCTTTGGAGAGAAGCCTTGGTAAGCTTCCCCAGGAAGAAAAATCCTCCATCCAGCAAAAGAGGGGAGCAACTTGGCACAGCTAATGCACTAAAAGGTGCTCAGAGTGATGGAGAGAGGAGTCTGTGAATGTTCCCAGGCAAATTCAGTCAGTTAATCACATCATTACACCTTTACAGAGTGCCCTTTTGGTACCCAGCCCTGATACCAGCTTTACTGTAGGAAGGAGAAAGTCACTCACTTTTGCAGGAGCTCACAGTCTAACAGAAAAGACTCCCACGAGGGGCATAAAATGATAAGGTAGGTCCCATTGATGACCAAATTGGAATGTTCAGGCCCTGAAGGTTGAAGATGATTGGAGGTGGTTGGAGAAAGCTGGACTGGTCAGGGAGGCTCCTTGAAGGGCTGGTGCTGTTGGAGACTAATTATGCGTGCTAAGTTAGCCTAAAGCAATTACAACACCCCTTTCTGAACAAAGCGAGACTGAATATGGGAACCTCTAATGTCCATGAAGTGTCAAATTGGATCCAGAATCTACCGTTCATGTCATACTTTTTGGAACATGGACTGGCTATTGGCACCATTAGAATATGACTAATTTCTACTCACCAGATGGTCTATATACTTATTTCCTGGAATCATTTGGTTGCAATAATCACAGCAGATGTTGCTTTCAGGAGCTGGAATTCTCTGCCCTGAATAAGCACAGAAACGACACCACAAATGACTGCCCTGGACAACGGCTAGCCCCACGGTCTCACAGCACGGCCTGCGGTCCTGAGGATGGACTGTCCCGGGCCTGCCATGAGCGTCCTGCACTGCCAGTGTCCTTGGCCATACAGGCAACCCTTGGTGGAATCGCCCACATCATTTCCTTTAAGCCGCAAAAATGCACTCAGGGCAGCACACAGCCCTGATGAAGAGACATTTTCCTGGAGTGGTTCTGGTTTCTAAGGAGACAGAGGGCGCTGCTACCACAGATGCCCGTCCTGGCCAATCTGACCGCTCTCTCATTTCACTAATTTCTGAGCCCTGTGATCAAGGGAGGAGTCACCACA